CTTGATTTAACTAGTGACGACATATTTATTAAACAAATATTTAGAATCTAGTTAGGTTAAGCAACCATATTACAATGCTTTGCCTATCAGGCAAACCTATATGTTGGTGATATATTTAAACTTTCATCAGAATATAAGCAAACAGTAAAACATGCTATTGTAGTTGCATCATATTTTACTGATAAGCGGCACTCAAAAGCAATATTATTACTTTGTAATGAACAGCAGAGGATTTACAAAAAAATTTATAGCTTTATGCTTCCAATAGCCACCTGTTGGAACTCATATTACTATTGTTTCACAACGCTTTTAAGAAGCAAACGTGCTTTACAGTCATATTCGATCTTACATTCAAATTCTTTTGAATTATCAAACAAATCCTAAATCATCATTGATGATATTCAATTTTGGACCTATCTTGAAGAGTTGGTAAAGCACCTTCTTCCCTTTGTCAGTATTCTGAATTATCTTCAGCGTGATGCAGCCAACCTTTTTGATGTTGCCTATGCATTCGGATATGTAGCACAGCAATATGAAGATGATATTGACAGATTTGGTTACCAAATGCAACAGAAACTTGAAAAAAGGTGGGCAGATTGGGAGCAACCTCTTCTTCTTTTGGCCATTATTTTTTATTCGCAATATTGTGTTCAGGCTTTGTCCAATATTAATATTTTTTTTCTCGAGCAAATAACATGTTGGATCGAATATTATTATGAAATGTGGTTTGGTGTAAAACCAAAATGTGTAGCATTAGAATTAACTGAATACTATATGAGATGTGGTATATTTAGTGATAAGTGATTTGCAAACACCATTGAGGCTATTTTAACAGGAGATATGTCAATGAATAATGCAATCAAGCTTACATTGTTGCGATATTGGGAATTTGCAGCAATTGATCAAAAAGAGATTGGTAAGGTTGCCCTTAGGTTGTATAGTATTAAAATTAATTCTGCCCCATGTGAGCGCCTTTTTTCTCGAATAGGATAGTTTTAAAGCTCAAGACGTAGTCATCTCAAAGTAAGTAATAACTTAAATTTGGTCTAATAAAACACAACAGAATGTCTTTACAAAAAAAAAAAAAAAAAAAAAAAATCTAAATTTATGCTAAACTTATCTTGTTACAGCTACAAATAATCTTTAGAATGACTCAAATTGCAGCTAAAATGGTGTGAAAAGAACACTTAGAAAATGCTGAAAAAATTTGCCAAATTGTTACCAAAAATCTTGTTACTGTTTCGATCAATAGTGAAGAAATAACACCAACGCCTCACTGTGAGTTTCAGTCGGAATCAAACCTTGAACCAATAAATGACATGAACGGTCCTGATGAGCATGTACCGATGTCTGATAGTGATAAAATTCCTAATGATGATTATGAAAGTGAAGATTATGATAGTAATGACTATGCAAGTGATAAAAGTGAATCTATTATCAGAGAATGGGTTAAGGTTGAGAAGGAAAAGAAGAGAGAAGAGGAAGAAGAGGAGAAAGAAGAGGAGGGAGAAGAAGAGGAGAAAGAACTTGAAGAATTAAATGCAATCTCTTTTAACACTGTTAACATGTGTAAATATCATCCTGCTGAACATAAAAATTCAAAAATTGAGCTTCAGCATCTTTTTACACACAATTTATCGCAACCATCATTTGTTCGTACACTTCAGCAATATGATGATTCTAACTAGATTTTTTCATTGAGCTAGTTTTAGGACAACTTTAGTATTTATAAATAATCCTTTGTCGAATATGTCTAGTTTTTGAATTTTTATAATAATTAATGATACCAATACAGTACAAAATTAAATGAGTAAAATATATTATCTGTACCGTTACAAGGCTTTAGGTACAATTTCTTAAATTGAGAAATTGATGTTTAATCAATTTGATATAATTTTTGGTGCTAAATGTATAAAATGACTAATGTAATTGGCCGATTACTCCTACATAATATGCAAAATTTATATTTAGAACCAAAGAATGATATAAGTAAAAAAAGCTTGAATTAGAATTATACTGAATTATAATATAATAATCTCAAAAAAATTACCGCTACAGATAGCACGCCTACTCAAGAATATAATCTAATAAATTATCAAGATTTGATCAGAAAGTTCCGAAGCCTCTAACGGTACAGACTGACTTATTTAATATTCTTCAATAAATAATGATACTGATACACAATGAAATTAAATATTTAAGTAAAATGTATCAGTATTATTTTTTATTCAAATTTTTCAAGCATCTAATTAATAGATCGAAACCTAATTTTTGATTAGTAAAATAGAAAATAAATTATTCGGGCGAGTTCATGATTAGATGAAAAAAGGACTTTTATAGAGTTGTGCAACATGAATCTGGCAAAATTACTGTAGGATTGGCGTTAGAGATGGGCAAGGTAATTGTAAGTATAAATTGTCGCACAATGTAATTTGATTTTTTACATAATAAGTAATTACCTTGCCCATCTCTAGTAGTGGTAGTACTCTCTTAGTTACACAGACCGATTAGACCAATTCGACCAATTCGACCATAGTCAAATTGGTCAAATTAGTCTGATCAGTCTGTGCAACTAAATTTATTGACTGATTTGACAAGTTTCAAGATGCTTGGACCAGACTAGTCATTAGTCAAATTGGTCAAATTGGTCTGTGTAACTAAATCATTTGACCGATTTGACCATTTTCATAGTGTTTGGACCAGACTGGTCATTGACCAAATTGGTTTGGTTAAATAGTCAGACTGGTCTGATCAAGCCAACACTGTTCATAGCATAACTCTGATACTTTAGTATACCTTTAAATTTCATCAGAATCCCAATTCAGATGACCTGTATAGGACTACAACTAGTTTATTAGTATATTAGATCAACCCAATATCCTTTTTCTCTGATTTATTTTAACAACCTGGTTGATAATACTTTCAAGACTTCTAACTCAGAGATTCTTGTTTATCTGATTACTAAGATCTAAATATCTGTTTTCTTAAGCTAGCCTTTACAGTAGCATTGTTAAAAATTCAGTTATTTCTCTACTCAGATCTTCTTAAATGAACTTCTTGTTATCTAATTTTAATAGATTTATACAAGCATAAGAACTTATTTAGTGTTTGTACTACCTAATTGTCAGTTTGCATTCCTTTGTATAACTACAAACCTTGTCTCAAAGGACAATATTATATGACTTATATAAATGCTCTATGATCTGCTAGTCATGCTAGTGTAACTATCATTACAGGTATTCTAATCCAATCATTAGTAACAGTTATCATAATACAAATATTATATAGGTAATTATTCAAATTTTTGCTGTTGATAGGTTTTAAATATCCAATCTATTACTTAAAAGGTTAACAACTTAATCACTTTACTAAATCACTATATCTCATTAAAAACAGTTATTATAATATAAGTATTCTATAAATAATTATTTAAATTTTTTCTATTAGTAGATTCTTAAACTCATAATTTATTACTTAGAGGGTTGACAACTTATCCACTTCTTTAAGTTATTACACTTTTCTTAAATTGATTTAAAATAATTAAATTTTTTTTTTTTTTTTTTATAGTTAAAGTCCCTATCTTGAGAATATAATATTTTATTCAAGTTTTGTTAGAAAACAGATGCCTCCAAGGGCTCTTTTACATTGGAGGTTACAACTAGTCATATGTGCACTTTTGGTGTCTAATTTAAGTAGTTTGCTTATACATTGCTATATAAGTTCTATACTAGTTGCCATACCTGCAAGCCAACTAGGGGTCTTGCCTATTTAAACCCTCTGCATATGCA